TTTTGTTTTTTTTTGTTTTTTTTTTCTTCGTATCTCGTGTTATTTCTGTATTTTTCTTGTTTCAATAGGACTTACGGACTAAGAAAAAAAGCTCCCGAGGGACGTGTTTTATATATATAATTTTTTTTCCTTTTATCTTTTTTCATTCGCATTTATGTATATGTATATGCGTACGACTAGTACTTGAGTGAACCTTAGTGTGACGGGTTCGGACGAGAAAATTTCTCAATATCCCGCTCTTTCTCCACTATTCTTCTCGTCTCCACACTTGTCTCGCTTTTCGAACGCAATGGTACTTTTGCATTTTTTTTTTTTTTTCATGCATCTTAACCATCACCAAATTGTTTATTTAACTCTGCAAACCTTTTTGCTCTGCATGAAAAGTTGTGTTTTATCACTGTTCTTTGGTCTTCTGACTATACGTTTTTGTTTTGTTTCTTCCACTACTTCTATTGTGTAGCAGCACTGAAAAAAAAAATGACTTTCGTTTTCATTGTCAGCACAGTTGTAACAACGTAGATGCTTCCGCTCACTCGAGGAAAGCTCCTCTCGACCACTCAGCTTCTCCCTCTTCTTTTTAATCCTAAAGAATTATCTATCTAGTATACTCGACTTTTACAGTTGAAAGCGTTATTGGGTGGATATCTGCAACACAGAAAAACTTTTTTTCAAACCTCGTCATCTTTGAAAAATTCATTAAAAAAAACTGACTCAATTATGGGATAGAGAAACTCCAAATCAAAGTTCTCCAATCCACAATCGATCCACTTAGTTAATAACAAAAAAAAAAAAAAAAAAACGCACCTTGTAAGCTTTAACGTATGGCACAACCCGGCCCGGCTTATCTAAATTACTATGCTGGTTAATACGGCCTGCTGGCGTCCTTGGGCCTCTTCAGTTGCACTTTTAACCGTTTCATACCGATCTGGAAACCGTTCATCGCCTGGATCGCTGCCTGCGCGCATGCCTGATTGTCGAAAGACACGAAACCTAAAACACATTATTACCATCGTCATTATTATCATTGTTATTATTATAACTCATTTTAATAAAAATTTTTTGTACAATATCTCATTAAGAGCATTACAACATCGATGTTTTTCAAAAGATATTGTCAATTTCAACATCATCTCGATATCGGGTAATTTAAAATTTGTAATAGAGTGCAGATTTTTATTGCTTATTTTTTTTTTAGTACTATGGGCTTTACAATAATGCGATGTATCGAAAAGTCGACTAAACTCGAAGTTAATCAAACCCATTTAACATACATTTCAACAATAATGACATTCCAAAACCACGCGACTTTGCAATGTGCGTCTTGACAAAATCTTAAGGATTCAATCATGGTACTACTCCGCATGCCATCGATTGCAAGTTGTGACGTTACCTACGTACAATGTGATAGAATATAGGTTACAAATAAGTTAACATATAAACTTGCGATGTATCGAATAGTATTGGGGAGTATCTATTATCGCGATTTTAGATGTATCGAGAATTCGATGTGAGATTATATCACTCTAACCTCAAATCCTGAGTTAAAACTTTATGAATTATTTATACATCGCATTTTTTAATAAAGTCCTTGAGTCGATTAACATTACCAAGATACGGGTACTTGGTATCATTAAAAAATAGTTCCAATTTACAAATCAATTACATCGATAGTATCGACGACACTCAGAGATATCGATATCGAATCAAGATATAAGTCTCGATTACTCGAGGTGTCACCCCAATTGTTGGATTGTTTAAATTTTATTTTTCATTTGAAAATATCCGGGAAACCTACAAGAAATCGTGGATTTCTCCGAAATAATGATCCGTACCATGGCCACGAAGTTTGACAGACTCGATGACTTGAGAAAAAGTTGCGCATATTCCCCGACGAAATCTGCTTTGCCGTCACATACAACTGCACGCTGCACTATCTTGGAAAACTTTGTCGAGCCACTACCTGCCCCTAATGATCGACTTTGCCGAGCTGTCAGCGAAACTAGGGAAAAACATCTTTCGACCCCCTCCCCCTCATCCGATAGGCGAAAAGTTTTAATAAACGTTTTCGCGAGGCCGAAGTTTCAGCGTGGATGCAAAAGGCTTTCGGGCCGCGATAACGAAGCCCCGTAGCTTTGGCTGTAAAGCCAATTTCCGTCATTATCTTCTTTGCCGACGCAGCAGCGAGAAAACAAAGGGGGAGGGGTAAAAAAAAGTTCTCAAGGGATCTTTGCCGAATCTGATTCTTTTTCACTAAAATTTCCAAGTTTGACGTACGTACGTGAGCGAATACAATGGTTCCAGCTCGTGGGTGAAAAAAGAAAAAAAAAACGACGAAAATATATACAAGTACAGAGGATGGCGGAATCATTAAATAATTTAAATACAACACGGAGGAACACATTATGTACGAGCAGATCTTTCGAATCCGAAAGAATTTACGAGTGTGATAAATTTGCTTCCCGCACAAGTTGTAACTTGACAGCTCTCGTCGTACGTCTCTTTCTCCTGGGCCTCTAAGCCAACTCTTGGCGTGTATTTGAAATCTCTCGAATCCCTTTAATAGGATTCTCGCGAAGGACTCGGTTTTTCTTTATCTTCCTTTCCCCCCAAAAAAAGCTCATATCCTTGCTCGGCTCTTAATCGGCGAACGATCGGAAATTACAACTCGGGCTCGACGGAATGACGCATTTTCACCTCCGAGCGTCCCCATTAGGGGCTTCGATTTGAGCCAAGGATTTAGCTCGTCGTGGATTTTCTTTGCCTCCGAGGATTCGTCGAAATAGGCGGAGAATCGGAGAGACCGTTCTTTATAGCACTGCTACAGAGGTATTTTTTTTGTTCTATTTTAGTGATCACTTTTTCTCGTGGAGAATTCGGTCTTGGCATGAAAAAAATCTATCAGGTGTGTTCGATGAAATTAAAAAAAAATTTTATTGCCCTTTACCCTCGTCGTTTTGTTCATAATTGTAATAATTTTTGATGGTTCATCTGAGGAGCGCCAAGCACAAAAAAAATTTTTTTTAGCTTATTTGTTAAACACAGTAATACCAAAAAAAAAAATCCAACATGATTTCAACACAATGACACATGATAAGACAATTATATGCACGAATACGTTAAAAGCATCTTTCACATAAAAACATCGAAGAGTTTACATATCAACAAGATCTACGACTTAATAAGCGTACAGCCACTTGATTCAGCGAGGTTTTTACCCGTGTGCTGATAATTTTTTCATTTTGCTCGAATAATAACTCTTTTTTGGCGATGGAAAAAAATCTAGCAGATTAGCGCTACCTGGACACGATAATTCGAAATTTTTCAATTGTTGGTGCATGGAACAAAAATATTAATTAAAGAGACTCGTGACTTTTTTTTGTCAGCTTGACTCGGCTTAAAAAGGCTTCCCTTTGACTTTGGCCCTTTTTCGGATTTTTGGTGGATATTCTTTCGTGCGTTTTTTCTTTTCAATGATAATGAATACCGGCTAATTGGAAGAAAAAAAAATAAGAGAAAAAAATCTGTGCTTCGAAATAAAAGTATTATTTCTCTTAGTTATCAAGTAGAACAATTTTTCAAGTAAAAAATGGGACGTCTTTATCAAATCTTCGAAAGCTTATTCGCGCATATAGGTGATTTTGGAAATTTTTTCGACCAAATTTTAGTTGAAAAAGAAAAAAAAAACATTTCTTAGGGGGCCTTATAGTTTTTACGAAATATTTTAATAATTTTACCACTACGAATTAAAAAAAAAATTTGGTAATTATATGCTCATTTTAAAATATCTTCACGACTTTTCAAATTTTTTTTATTACATCATAAATATTATAAGTGTTATTGTGATTTTCTTTCAATTTTTCAAATTTTGCCGAAAATAAGGGCTTTCCATATAAAATACATATGATTCATATTTAATTGAAATAAAGTTGTAAAAAGTAATATTTCATCTTGATCTTCTTTCCAATGCATAAGTAAAATATCCAAAAAATTCCTTAAATAATATATTTTAAATAATGTATTATTATTTAAAAAATGAAAACCTCCTTTAATATTTTGAATTAAAGCTTTAANTTAAAAAAAAAAACTAAAATATTTTAAATTTTTTTATTTTCAAACCTAAAAATCGGTAAAAAAAAAATTTTTTTTTCGTAACCGAAAAATCGGTAAAAATTCCTAAAAAACGGCACTCAATAAGATTAAAATTCTCCAAAATTTTCGTGGATCGCAATTAATTTATGAAACGAGTCAATCTCGTTCGCACAAATGGTTTTGACTTACCGAAGCACTTGCTTTGATTGGTGGCGCGATCGATGAAGACCTTGGACGAGATGACGTTGCCAAAGGGTATGAACATCTGCATGAGTTCGCCATCTCCGAACTCCTGGGGCAGGTGGTAGATGAAGAGGTTGCAACCTTCGGGTCCTGATATAGAGCATCCTATCATATAAACCAGAGCACATCTAAACATCGAAACTTGAAGTATAATACTCGAGCTGGTGAGAACAGCACTTTGCGTGTTTCTGTTCCATTATTTTAGCGTGATGGCGACTTTCTTGAAACTTGAAATTTCGGATGATTGACTTTTTTTTTTTTTTTTTTCCTGTTCATTCTCATTGAACGGCCGATAAATGATCAATGGCATGAATGAATGAATGTGAGAGCGAGCGAACCGCGTGATTCTCTTTGTTAAAGAATTTTGACTGTTTTTATTTTATTTTATTTTTTTTCTTTTCCATGTACATGGCCTGGGCTGATACAATGACTGATGGCTGATGCGCATGAGAACGTGGACGTTTAGTGAAAAGCTGGCTCATACATAAATATGTATATACATATATAAACGAGTACATGCGATTAAATTTTGATTTTCATTCCGATGAGAGGTGTTATATGCAATGATGATTCCCATAACGTTGATAAAGCAAAAAAAAGCAAAAATATTTGTGATTGAACAAAAAAATAAAATAAAATTACAGAACGCTTTAATTTATATTGACAGTAATTCTGAACCAGTACTAAAAATAAAGATATTTTTTTTTAATGTCGAGTAAATATTTTTTCACAGTTTTATGTATAAAACAAAATTTTTCAAAGAAGAAAATTCAAGTATCACACATCATGGAATCGTAGGAATCTATTGTTTCCCAAGTTCGTAGCATCGACGCACTCGAATAACTAAAAAAATTTCCGATAGCCCAATTTTTCGCGATTTTATCGCAGATCTCACGTTATATCTTACACGCGAGAGCAACAGCATCAGTTGTTTTGAGCGTCACGACAGTTCGTTGAAAAAACTCTCAATTCAAGCAATTTTCTTTAAAAAAACGCTGAGTATTTATACTTTCAGTATTTACAGACACACATACGTACACACAATAGTAATAAAAAATAATGAGGATGTTGTACATAAGATGGCATGGATGAAGGTAGAGTACAAGTGATACAATGGTGAAATAATGAATTTTTTTTCTTTTTTTTTTATACTTTGTTTTTAGAGTAATAATGAAATTCGCCTTTACATATATATAATATAATTACTAGTAGAATCAATCAACTGTAGATACTCATTAATTTTAATTAAACGTGGTACGAATGATCCCACCTAAAAAAAATTCACGAACCTAAGCCACCTGATGTCTTCTTAACGACTTGCGTGTCGTAATTTCGGCTAATGCACGCGCGCACCCTGCACGCGGAAAAGGATAGAGGGCGCGCCTAAAACAGGCTCTGTGCAACTTTGCCGACGTACGTCAATTAGCGGCGATTGCGACGAAAGGGAGAGAAAACTTGCGCTTTTACGTGTCCTCGCTTGATTATCTTTTAAGTACTCGTGTTTTTCGCGTATCCGAATTTTCAATATCATTTTAAAATTACCAAGTTATTTACATTTGGTTGGTGTATAATTTTATCCATATGGGCATGATTTTAAAATGAATTGTTTTATTCTATTACACGTGGGATTTACGAGGCTCGATCGGATACGCTATATCGGGGTTTTTATAAGCTGCCTTTTTGTTTGCGATGTCATTTATTTTATCAATTCGGTTAATGAAGCCGAAAGCTTTTGGGTGTTATGTTATATATGTTACGTATCGAAATCGCCCGCGTTTTTGGCTTTAAAACACCAATCAGCCTACGACAGTGAATGCAACAATAACATTAATATGTACGTGGATATATATAATCTGCAGAACGACAACGACGAGCAAATTGGATTTGCTTGCAACCATTTATACAAATGATAAAATAAATATTAATCGAGTAAAATGAAGATTTAAAAAAAAAACAATACACATCGTTTAGCGATAAATCGAATGTCAAATATTATATTTAATATCAATGTATGCAGACAACAATGATGTTCAACAGTGATTGTAAATACACTCTTCGTTGGTGATTTCGTTGCCTCGAATTTGTGTATCATCGTTGCTTTCATATAAACGTTGGAAATTGATGAATCATGATTTTCGTGTATGTTAATACAAATACATAAACATGGATAAAATGACACAACAATATGAAAATATCGACTAATAACACCAAACAAGCAACCAATGAGCTTTTTGACTGTTGCGATACTGATGTGTCGAAATATAATGTATCGAATAATAACAGTAATATATAATGTAGTCGTTAAGCATCAAAACGTATTGTTAAACATCGGCATATCTGCATGCATCGCTCTTATCAATTAACGGAAAGTATCGTATAATATTTTTCGCAGACACGACTATTTTTATTCGAATAGATGTGCTTGAAACATTTTCTCGACTCCAAAACACTCATATAACACTCAAGTGTCATTAGATTGATTAATTTTTTTTAATTCTTCCGTATATACAAGTGCGAAAACAAAGGCAAAAATACTGTAGTTCATAACCTCAACGCAAGTGTTGTACATAACCTCAATTATACACGTGTCTGGCAGCGAAATTAAGGAAATAAAGGAGAAAAAATTAACGTGAAATCAAACATATTTTTCACCGAGCAAAACCGTGAACCAAATTACACGCACTTTACCATTCCCCCTTTCGCCCCCCCCCCCTTAAATTTGGCGCTCAACGCGTCCACGCCTGAAATTCGCCGGCGCTTAAAACTGAGGCGCACAATTGAATTTCGGCTCGGGCAAAATAGACTTGAAAAGCTACAGAGCGAGACAGATGGAGGGAGGGGGGGGAGGGTGCAGGGGCTTAACGAAGGCTGATAATGAAATTTGTACTCTGAATCCTTGAAACTGATTTAGCCTTTCATTTTCACCCAGACGAGCGCGCGTGTTCTCTCTCTCTCTTCTTTTAAGTGAATTACCGAGCGTATAAGGACCCCGCAAAAGCCCCATTTGAATTTCCGAAGCTGTACATCTGTATACCACTTAGGCTTGTTTTTATTTATTTTCTCAGTTCTTGTCGCTTTTTTTTTTAAATTTACAAAACAAGCAATGAATATTTCATCAAGTACTGTTTCCAGTAAGTATACAATGGCAATGAAAAAAATGTTGGATTGTGAATTTAATTTAAAAAAAAAAATTATTTAAGTTACTATTAAATGTGTTGTCTCAAATGTTTTTAGATAGTACAGCAAACAATCTCTGTTGTGCCATTTTCTTAAAAATGGATAAAGAGTTAAAATTTTAGTCAAAGTAAAGTGAATATAGTAATAGTGATGATTTTGTATGGTAGTCTTTATTGTACGATAAGAAAAATTTAATTAAAAATACACGGTAGAATCATGAATTTTTAATATTAAATGGTCCAAGTTTAAACACCATCAGCCACGGGGCAAACTTTCCGAATAATTAAATTTCTGTTGTAATTGTCAACGTTGCTAACAAAATTGACTTAAAAAAAGTTAAGGTAGCGCGGGTCTCGTAACTCTTTCAAACTGTAATTTAAAAGCGTCGGGGGAAAAAAACAGGGGTCCTATGTACAACGGCAAGCGTTCAACAATTAACCAAGAAAATAAAGTACAAATTGACGAAAGAGGCAGGGGTAGCGGAAACTCGACGGAAAATCCAATCTCTAGTAGCTCCAGTAGAGTAGAAAAAAAAAAAAAAGAAAGAAAAAAATAGAGGAAAAAACAAAGGAACAGCAGTGTGTACGACGACATCAGGAAGGAAAAAGGGAGCCTTAAGATAGAAAGGGAGAGAGGCTCGCGGTAAACTTTCCATTAACAGTGGCAACGGGGGCGGAAGGCGCATAACAGAATCGCCACGGCGAAAGTAATTAAAACTTTCGTTTTATTTGCATTATCTCATTGTAAATACATCGTATACCTACTCTAATAATGGTGAGTTGTTAATTGCAATTAGAGGCCGTGCTCGTCCCTTCCGTTCCGTCTCCTTCGTCTCTTTTTTAGTTTTTCAATTATGAAAGATCCTCTCTTTCTTTTTTCTCTCGATTTTCGAGAATTGTGGAATACATACAAGATTTATTTATTTTTTTATTATTTTTTTTTTTTTGATTCCGTATTATTATAACTAATTTTGACCTTAATCAGTAATCACCAAAGATTAGAATATATGCCAAAGTAGTGGATCATTCGATTGACAAAGTAAAGACATCTCAATGTCGTGTTAGAATAGCTCGAATCTTCGTCTTTAGCTGAAGATATGCCTATGTAGGGGTAAAGAGTACAGTTGTTGACCCCCCGATAGTGATTGACCGCCACATGCATTTTTAAATGGAGCCTTTATATATAGATATACAAATTATACAGGGGTCAATCACTACCTTAAGGTGTCAATAACTGTACCGTTTACCCCTATATAAAATTGTGGAAAACATTAATGCTCTGTATTTGCTCAGCAACCTCTAAAAACAATCGATAAGTGTGATAATGCTCACATTTTTTGGTAATTTTATTCATATTTATTTAAAGGCGATTTCTATTTACTCTAAAAAGTATTTATTTGCCCGTCTTTTTTCTTCTTCTTATGTTCAACCCAATTTATTTAATGAAATTTTAACCTCTTATTTTTTTTTCAATAAAATTTGTGAAGCAATTCACTGATATTAAGAAAAATGAAAATTTTTTCGTTTAAAAATAGAAATTTGCAAATTGCTCTAAAGCTGGGACAATTGTTTTTTTTACTAAAAATGTATCACGAAGAAATATATTTCATTACTTATTCGACGTGCTACTTTCTCAATAAAAATAAACTTACAGTTAGTAAAATACAACGACGATGGCAACAAAGTAAAAGAAATATGTTATGTACACAGAGTATATATGTATAGTGCGATGACATAAATTCAATACAATGAACATGTAAAATATAATGTACAACACATAAATAATATATATACATATATATATATATATACATATATATATATATATATATGGATATTAGTATACAAGATGAAAAAGGTGGTTAGTAATAAATTGATCCTCGGGTGATGGATTTTTTGGTTTGGTTAGTTGTTCGTTGCACTTACCTTCCCTCTGTTGTGGCGCTACCGCAGGCATCGGCTGGGGAATGGCTTGAGGAAATTGTCCATAGACGGCGGAATAAGCTGCGACAGTAACAAATCGACAAGATACATCATTGGTCTATCCAACATCCATCCAGATGCAACGTGATAATTTTTTTTCCTTTTAATTTTTAATTGCAACTTGGCTTTTTTCTTTTAAACTAAAATTTTTTTTTTTTTTTTTTTTTAACGCAAAACACGTATACACGAAGAATAATGCAACAGTAATTTTTAACATTAAATTATTTTATTGGTTTTTTTTCAGGGAGATTTTAATAATAATTTTACTGTGAAAATTCCTGCATTGACGCAATATCACAACATTACCGTTATGTTACGCTGAAAACTATTGGAATTATTTTTCCTCGGTATATATTTGAATGGTAGTGTTTCTCAGATTCTCAAATATTGCTTAGTAAATATTTAATTTCATGTAAAAAAGGGTTATAATTGTAACGGCACACTAAATTTCCATTTTCGGGTAAAATTTTGCGACGCACATTAGGTCGCTCAACAGCGAAGCAGAAATTTCATACAAACATCCCAGGCAAAACTGCTCCGCGAATTCGGAATCCCATTATCGGTATAAAAGTTGGAGCGCGCAGGCAGCAAAAATATTACGTGCAACAAAATATAACAAATTTGCAGTTCCAGGTCGTGGCCACGTTCGCGGGACGGGAAGGGCTTTTGACGAAGTTATCGAAAGTTAAACTGCCGCGTGGGTAATTTTGACCTCGAAATTTTCGTTCCCCGGAAACTTTATTGATTAGGCGAGTCGCGAAATTAATGTGCCGTGGCCTAATAAAATTTCTCAGACGCGAAAATTGATAACCAGACGAGCTCCCACCGAAAGTTCCTTTGAATTTCACGATATAGTTTGGCGGTCCTTTGACAGGAAAAAAAAAAATTTAATGGGAATACTTTGTAAAAGTTCATTATTAAAACACAACAACCCTACATATATTTTTCGAGTAAAATTCCAAGTTAGGTAAAGCAATTATTTTTTTTTTTAAATCAAAGGGAACACTTTTACGTTTTATTCCCAAAACGAAACTCACAATTTATAATTCAATTTACGCGCAAAACTTGATAGAGAAATATTTTTACTATTCATTTTTTTTTTTTTTAATATTCCGTATTATTATAACTAATTTTGACCTTAATCAGTAATCACCAAAGATTAGAATATATGCCAAAGTAGTGGATCATTCGATTGACAAAGTAAAGACATCTCAATGTCGTGTTAGAATAGCTCGAATCTTCGTCTTTAGCTGAAGATATGCCTATGTAGGGGTAAAGAGTACAGTTGTTGACCCCCCGATAGTGATTGACCGCCACATGCATTTTTAAATGGAGCCTTTATATATAGATATACAAATTATACAGGGGTCAATCACTACCTTAAGGTGTCAATAACTGTACCGTTTACCCCTACACTCGATCGCATCATTCGACGTTCAAAGAAAAATNATATTTCTCTCCAGTAAGCATTCTAGGTTGTGTTGGGATTGGCACTTGTGTTACAAAATTATTTTTTTAATTAATCAAGCAACCTGTAAGCCGCCCTGATTATTGGAGGATTTGCGTTTGGGTTAGTATTTTTTTTAGTATTAAATCAAACGATGTTTGAGCGTCTTAAATTGTCTGTTAATGGGCACTTGTTTTGTTATTCAATCGTTTACAATTATTTAAATCTACCAGTAAGCCTCTTAGGTCATAAGGTAATTAGCGCTTGCGTTATTATCTTATCAAACAGTAAATGACGCAGCCAGTAAGCATCTCATGTTTTACGTGGAATGGTGCTTGTGTAATGATATTCTCAATTTAATTAATTAAGCTACTAGTAAGCAACCTAAATTGTCTGGGTATTGACACTTGTTTTGTTATTTCATTTTATTCATCAATAAAGTGGCTAGTTTACGTTCCGTGTTGTATGGGAATTGGCTGTTACGTTATTATTTTATTTATTATAATTGGAGTAAACAACTAGTCATATTTTTAAAATAAGTGGGAATTGGCGCTTATGTTATTACACTAATTATGTTAAAGGATTAAAGGGACTAGTATGCGCCTTGAGTTTTGTGGTAATTCGTGGTTGTGTTATTTATTCATTTTATTGATAAATAAAGGAACCACTTAGTGTTCTAGACTGTGTGAGAAGTGGCGCTTGTGTTATTATTATTTCTTATCATTATCATTGATTGTATAGCCCAAGAATAAAATGCTTTGAAATATTAGTCCCAATGTGTAACGAATATTTTATTTTGATAATTGTTTTTTCTTTCCTTCGATACGTTTTGCGGAAAACGCTTTTTTAACATGGAGAGCACGACTCTTTTGAAAAATAATTTCAGTGTAGAAGATACGTGAATGCGTAAATGAACATAATATGTTTGTTGCATACAAATTTGTTGTGGATAATTATTTATATATACAGACGAATGAAAAATGAGTTTACCACGTTTTATAAATTAACAAAAATATTTACAATACACAAGTAAAGTTGTGCATGCACATGCAAGCGCCTGCATGATGACTATTCCAACACTGTATGAAAGGTATTTTTTACGACGTTTTTATATACCTCTTCGTACTTTATATTTTTCATCTACGTGTGGCAACCGTTTAAATGTTTTTTTAATGAATCATGTTATTGTTATACCTATCTTCTGGAGAAATATTTATTTTTAAATAAACTTTTAGGTATTTTATATTATGGATATCATGTCACCTTCACGCTTGATTTATACCACATGACGATTTGAGGTAGACGCAAAAATTTGTTTTCGTCGGGTTTAAAAACAAAAAAAATATATCACAGACAAATGGATTGAAAAAAAAAAAGAAATTGTTGATAATTCTATGCTGTATGCTTGACGACGGGTACTTACCGACCCCTGGGTAGGGTTGCATTCCAGGATACGCGGCTTGGTGCAGCGCCGCGTCCCCGTTGTGTGCTTGAAGGGGCAAATGAAGGGCATCTACACTTCAGTAAGCTCAGCTCTTATCAAAAGGATGTGACTTAACCTAAATGTCCCTCAACCGTCATTATTGCACTCTAACATTTCAACCATGAAAAATCCACTGATACTCTTAGACGTGTAAAAGTTTATCTTGCAAAAATGAGGGCTGAGGGGCATTGTTTTGCGAAACCGCTGTCACGATTCCGTGAGTACTCACTATAGGTTTGGGGCGAAAAACTGCCATTCGTGTACGGATCATTCGAACCAGCTGAAAGGGCTGTCTGGCCGTTGGGCGTCTGCGCCGCCATGTTGAAGTTGGGCATCGTCGGCGAAGGCAGAGATGGCAGTGCCCCGTTGACTGGTTGCCCTGAACCAGTACCTACAATTACGTCTAGTTAATGATCGACATGTTTGGTGCTTAATAAGAGAACTTTGGGTTTGTCACAATAATCCCAGATTGTTCTTCTTTTTCATCGTGTTTTTTACCTCTTTTCGTACTAAATAACTAAAATTAACTGAGGTTATAGGTAGCTGTTTACGATGGACTAAAAAAATTGTCAAAAAGTAATACGTAGCAGCAATTAAGTATGGCCTGTAGGTTATTATGTTTCCTATATCCGATTATGTTTATCCTAACCTCTAATTTATCTCAACACTATTTTAGAGCAGAAAGTCTGAAGAATTTTTAAAAATTTAACAGAGTTATATGATTTAAAATAGACTACTATACAAAACATTCTCTTTAAGGAGGTTGACCACCTTCAATGGGAAGTGTGGGATTGAGTTCCAACTTTTTATTTCTTTTAGGTTAGAAATGCCTGCGCCATTAGCTGCAATTTCATCCAAATCTGACTGTTGATTTTGTTATGATTTTATAATAAAGAAAACATTTTTCAAAATTTTTAATAAAAGGTAACTAGAAAGTTAAGAAATTTGTATCTATAATTTCTCAGTTAAAAGTCAACTCAAGCTCAATACAAAGGTTTTAAGCCCTGACATAAATCTTTTTCATTACTTTATTGATCTGTATACCAAATTTTAGAAATAAACTGATAGTTTCTAAAAATAGTCAACCCCCTTAAGAGAAATTTAATTTTTCAACTATATATATTTATTATAAGTAAATAAAAATAAAAAAAGTACATAATCCAAAAGAAATAACCTCAAAAAATACAATAAGTGCATGATTAAAAAGCAATATTCGCGCTTCAGGATTTCGATGCAGCTCAATGTACCCTTAACTATCTCTTTTGTTTGTTTCCCAAACTCTTGTCTGGGTTATTGTCCTTTTTTACGGTACTGCGCGCACAAATATACGTATACACAAACACAAAACTTTACATGTATTTCTTCGTCGAGGTCCATATATTTTGATGGCGAGGACACGACGAAATCTTGCAAGTAAAACTGTTCATGTATACACATGTACGTATACATTCAGTGAATCGAATCTCGTTTGCGATACCGAGGGCGTTTTACAACTTTCTACGCCATTAGCCCTGCTGCGAAATGCATTTTACAGCCCCCATCAGCCGCGTCTTCGCGACAAGGTACTAGTATTACCAGCGTTTAAAAGCTTTCCTGGGATATTACAACTCACACACAGTACACAAATATTTATCCTACCGTGCTATTTCATTTTTTCATCTTTTTTTTCTTTCTTTAAAAAAAAAAAAAAGCACCAGCCTCATCTTATGCTATCAAGCACCAACTTTAAACGTTGTATTTGACACAACATCAATTAACATTAATGTTTGATACACAGAGTAAATGGTTATCAATTGGTTGTGTGGATAATAAAATTAACGTATGTACCGGAGGTGGGTGGCACGACCGCGTTCGGTATACCATTGAGTGCATGGGGCAGTTGGCCAGCTGCCAGGGCTGCCATCGGACCGATGTACGTCCCCTGGGCTGTTGCGGCTGCCATCAGGGCCGCCTGTTGCTGTGAAATTCGAAATAAAATAAACTTGTTACTAATGAGATTTGTTTGTTTGTTTATTTATTGAATAACGAGAAGCTCGACAATTTTGCTAGCGTGGAAATAAAATTGTCCCACTTTTTTCTTTTTTCTCCAAGAAAAGAATGATAAAGGTATACCCCAAGCCGAATGAAAAGAAGGAAGAAACAGGGCAAGCTTTCATCTCCTGCGCGACGACGTCATTTGGTGTCGTTACGTAGGAGGCGAACAAAGCAGCTTCCCACATATATGTACGTGGCTTTTCTGTCCCCCCCCCCCACACCCTGGCCTCGTATTGTATATGTAAGAAGATATGCTTCACGTCATCGGTCGGCTAACAAGGTTCAAAAGAATGACGCGACGTGTATACCAACCTGAGCATAAGCTGCTCCGTAAGGGCCGAACTGGTTGAAGACGAAAGGGTTAATGAGGCTCATGTTCCCGGCCATTTGCTGCATACGTCTTAACTGTCTTTCTTTCTCAGTGTCTGCGTATTTTACCACAAGACTGGACGATGCACCCTGTAACAGAGATTTCAAGGGCTCATTTCGGATTTTTTTTTTTTTTTTTTTCTAATTTTGCTTTTCTCTTTCGCACTTTTTGTCCTCTTTTCAAGGTGTTCCTGAAATTATATAAACAATACAGTATCTTAATTTATTTTCTTGCTCATCAAATAATATATACAATTGATTCCTTTCACAGCACAAGTATGGGCACACGTTGCAGGTACACCTCGTAACTTCAACTCATTTTAGCCTCCGTGACTCCCTGTTTCGTCATAATTTGAAGAAAATAAATTTTAATCCAAAATTTCAGGTATTGCCAGCCAAAACGTTACTTATTGCCCTGACATTTGGAGGTATTCAAATCACACCAAGCCAATCGATTTATGATTAAAAAAAGCTTTAACACCAGAAAACGTTTCCCTTTAAAAAAAAAAAAAAAAAAAAAAAAAAAACAATTCTAAGACCACTTTTTTCGCGTGTAGGTACCCCACCAACAAAAAGGTAAGGATCAAACGACGTCTTGTAAAATATGAACGGGACATGGTACGAGGCTTGCAACGACCATACATATCATAAGGAGCAACAGGTGGTCAGCGTGAGCTCATGAAAATAATATGATACAACCCACTGCAGCTTCTCTCTCTCTCTCTCTCTCTCGCCTGTAGTGATGTGTCATGTATTCGCGTTTGTCATCATCAATGCAAATTTCTTGCGAGCGTGCCTGTGCTCGTACAACGACTAACGTGACGTCACATTATTGCACTCTGTAGACGCGTTGGTGTATATATATAGACCTTTAGTCACGCGAATTCCGTCGCGTTTACGTGGGCAAACAACTGGCTTTGCTTTTGTGGGTATTATGCGCTCGGCGTTGTTTCACTCGGAATTGGATTATTGAATTGTGATCTGGTGATTTGATATACGGGTCGCATGGAGAGTATTTTATGACAGAGGAAAACGCTAACGTTGATCGTTGGTCACGCAGTGGTAAGTGATTTCAAGGGGTACATCTGGTTTGCTATTTAGTTAGTTTTCATTTTTTATTCAAACTATTTTTCTATAAAACAATGGACAATTTTTAATGTATTAACTGTGTGGGAAGTAACTCTGCCCTATCCGATCGATTGAGCTTACATGAGGTCAGAACCAGACTATAGAACATCGGATTACGTGTAAGTAGATTCAGTAAAGCTTTTGTCGGACAATGCAGGGCTAGTCCAAACGTTGCATGTCTTATTAGTGGAAAAGGTAATGCTATGGGCAGCCAAGGATTTGACCACTGCTTCCAGTAATGCATACATGCATCCATCGCCCATTTTTCTTTTTTACGTGAGATAATGTGGCAGTCTACAATGAGTTGGATATGGATAATGTAAGGTGTATTATACTAGTCGATTAGTCAACATTGAAAGCAAAATAGTGTCAAGTGCTGAAATAAAAAAATCGTTTTCTCGAGTCTTACAATTGAATAAGCATCTTTCAAATATTTCAACACATTTCCTAATAGAAGGATGATTCTAAAAAATTTCAATAAATAGAATAAATGCCTATACCCATAGCGTAGCTCCAACACGATAGATAATTACTTGCTTTTCACTTGCGTGTACGGTGAAATGGAAATTTTAATGAGCATAGCTGTGTGCTATTTTTCCAATCGTAAGGACGTCGTTCGTTGTTCGAAGGTACCGTTGAACATCCAATCAATACTCCGTTTACGAATGTAATTGGTACTCATACTTCAAGAGAAGAAAAGTCAGAACTCACCTGTTCTGGCTCGTTTTTCGGATTCGAGCATCGGAAATAATTCTTTCATCGAACCATTCTTTGATCCATCGGTAAATTTTTTTTCAATTACTGGCTCAATATAATGCCCTCTCCTATCTTTTTTAGAGAAAATAGGATCGGAAGCTTATGCATCATCCGTGCCCGTGCACATAGATAATACACAGACGAGATCAAAGTCACAGCAATTTACATCCCACCTGCAAGCTAGCCGATAGGCGATCGGCTAATAAAGAGGGACGGAGATAGATGAAGGAGTACCTCCGTGTACGTGTATAGTGATAGCACTAGTTGTGGATGTATAGTGGGTACGTCATCGGCTGCATGTAGGTATATACACACGTATCAAACCAGAGGAAGCCTCATTATTGGGGGATTACGGATTATTAGCCTCTTCCCGACCTCCCGCCCGCTTTTCGAGCGAAGAGCTTTAGAGTCGAGAGGGAGAGATTGGGTGGGAGCTTCTATCGCCACTTCGTTATCGGTCGAGCTGCTTCTTTCCTTTTTTTTTTTTCTTCTTTCTCAAAAGCAACCTCATTATCGCTGGCTTGCTGCCTCGTGTTGCCGTTTACGAAGCGGTTAAGACCGGCTTTCGACCTCGATCGAGGAAATTTTCGCGGAACTCGTCAATTCTTTACGTATCCAAGATCTCTGGAGAATTGTCGTGGTTACATGATCAAAGCTAAAAGTTTTTTTGTAAATGACATGTGATTCAGCATAGTTTCCAAGAAAATATACGATACTCTAGGGTTGTCTTTGGAGTATCAGACATACATACTGCAGTTCCAATCAGAAAAGGTCAGCCTTTTTTACTCTAGCATCACTTTTTACCGTCTCAGGGTGTAGTAAAACTGTGACTCTGTATTTTATGTTCCAAGCTCGTTTGTCCCAGAAAATACATTTGCATGCGTTGCGTAAGTGGAATAGGAGGAGTACTTGTAGCTGCTGTGCTGTTCAAAATTCCGATGTTCGCATGGCAAAAAAGGGCAAAAAAGGACGAGAGAGCAGAAAAAACAATAAGTGCTGAGCTACGTTATCCTACCCTCTTTGCACGTGTATTTTTCCATTGACTTTGCATTTTGTATATCGTGGGGTGGAAGTGTTCAATGGTTGTTCGGATGATTATTCATGGACTTCTATTGTGAGAAAACCTTATTGTTATGTTAGATTTGACTATGACTAAATAAATCTTCTTCATCTAGTATTCTGACGATCCATTGGTTATCAACGCATCAATTTTTTTTCATTATCAACCTAAAAATTCTAATAATGGGTTGATAAAATGTTATTTAAATGCAGAGGATCTTTTTTTCACTGATTTCCAATACACCACATTGTTATGATATCAGAATTATATTTTCCTATTTTCCGCTTCAGCGTGATTAATTCCTCTTTGCACATGCCAGTGAATTACTATTTGGATTCCAGACAAACAAGATAATTCCAACTGTAGTCCAATGGCCACAACCAGAGACAAATGATTTTGGTTACATTATAGACTCGGTCAGATTTAGAATCGATTAAATAGTTTCTACTACTTCTGGATTGAAAGTTCTCCACTTTCCACTTGTGACCCTTCGTTTTCACATTCATCGGACCTTTAGTTTCCCGATCAGCACCCACACACGGACAAAGTAGAGTGACACAGCTTGAGAAAGCGGAAGACAGAACGATGCACACACGTAGACACAATCGATGTCCCGGTCCGATCTTGTGGTCCAACTGATGTGTGTGGGTGTGTTGAATCTATTGAAATTACCAAGAGCGTGGCAGAAGCGGACATTGGGAGCACGCAGGGATCGGATCGGTAAGTGTGATGGCCCGACTAACAGAGGCGCTCCTCCAATCAGCAGATAATTGCTTCATTTCGCCAGCAGCAGGCGCTTGGCCTTTCATCCTCCTCCTCCTTCCCCCATAGGACTGCGGTCATGACGATGACTTTGACTATGGGTAGTCAGTGTACTCCCACACATGCCTCCTTGACGCTTCGATTTGTGCTTCAATATCCTGCTTGTGTAACCATTCGGCCGCACCAATGGGTACATTGAGTTCCACCGAAGATTATTTACATTCGCGAGATTGCACCTGGATTCCGTGGGATGGTGCTGATTGAGTTTACCTTACCGAATGGAGCAAGACGATGCGTCAATTGTACGGTAAGTGTTGAATCAGGAAAAACAGCTTCGAGAGCCGCAATGGTTTGGATTCCTCTACGGAACTCCGTCCACGTATCGGTCTAATGAAAACATTGCGTCTACATCGCGGGCTGGGATAGATTGGGGGCTGCAGGGGAGCAGCAAACAAATAACAGTGGCGCGTCAGTTGAAGGCCGATGCAATTACTCCGTCCACTATCTCCTTCTGCGATTCCCAAAGCGAAACCGAGACAGAGGGAATGGCTTTTAATTAAATGCTAGAAACAGTTTCCGAAGCTCCGATAATGCAGAGACAATTTCCTTCCTCGATTCACTTTGCGTCCGGCTCAGAAGGAAGAACGACTACGAGCTGTGCGCACTGGAGGTGAGCTTTAAAAGCGCATTCCTCTCTCTCTCTCTCATTCTTTTCAACCTCGGCCCTCTACTGCTCTTCTTGTCTAACAAAGTTTTGAAGTTTAAGGGCGCGTAATTGCGCGTGTCATCTTCTTTCCTGGTCCGATCAAAGGAGGAGCGCAGTGAAATCGCAAACGGGATCGAATTCCAAACGTCCCGAAACTTTCTCCATTCCAAGTTAAAAGACTTGCTTTCGGTCCCTTTTGCTTCTCATTCTCCGCTCTTTGCGATGTACACGTACCCCTTAACCCCCTCGTCTTTTTCTTCTACGTTGGCCCCTTTGGAGTGCAGCGATGAATAAGAGCCCGAAGAGGAATCTCGTAAGGTGTGCAAGTGGTCTACTGCTTTGCTCTTTCGAGGCAATTAGACGGAATTTTGTCGTGACCTTTTTACGTCTTTTTTTTCCCACTCCCTCAACGTGTTCCTCTCAAAGTGAAGCTTTTCCGAATTGTGTTTTCGATTTTACAAAATTATGGGGAACAGATTGTTTTCTGGAATTGCACGAAACGTCTATTAAATAGTTCATCAACATGTCTACAGTAAAGCTCGAATCGAAGATATGTATTTACATATCATCGAGTTGGAATTCCAAGCGTCCATAGAATTTAGCTTTTCGCGGTAAAGTGGAATATTAGTCGAGACTTGTGCTGGTTCCAAACAAACGAGAGGGGCTGTGGTGGATGAGCGAATGGATGAGAGGGAAAATTGAATGACACGACGGAAATTTCCTGTCACCCCTGCTGACTCGCAATTTTCTCCCTTTTATTTTCCTCCGTCCTCTGACTGGCAATTTTTTTTAGGCTCGCTCTGCCCGCAGCAGCATCATTTTTTTTTTACTCGGTACGTTTTTCTCCGCGAAGCTGTACTTGCAAACGAAATTAACGACTTGCAGCCGCGCGATGATCAGGATGACAGTTTAATAGTGTTTGCTACTGAGTTTGGGTACAACGTCAAAATATTCTGTAAATATTGTGGCTCACTGTTTTCTTACATAAATTTATAATCGTTTAAGTTTATGAATCGTAGAATTTTTTACTGATTGCGAGTTGTATAGTCACATAAAGTTCATATTTTATAAGTAACATGAAATTCATACCCACAAAAACGTTTACGTGGGCTTGTTGAAAACCAATACATTTTCTCGTACACGAATACGTTAAGGATTTAATATACATCTGGTTAGTTAAATACATGTAATTGCAACTTTATACAGTTTTTAAGACAAAAATTACGATTGATGTATCAATTTTCAGACCTATAAGTATTTCACGCATTATTTGGAGTATTTAGACGACTCTTTGTCCTATAGCAGATTAAGTACCAGTGATCCAGTGATTGCCGGTTGTAAAAGTTGTTTTCATAAAGAGTAATATGCTCAATTGGAAAATGTACATATCATGAGTAAGACTCACATCTGCATCACAAACTGAGTACAACATCCCCTTAATACGCACTTTTTAATGCGAACACCGGCGACCATTCGAAGGTTCTACTTTAAGCTCCCGCGAACGGTGTCCTACTATTGGCCGTTGAATAGGATTTCAACGACAGCCGAGTGCATTCACTTGAGGACGTATGCTTGGAAGATTGGGATTTATAGTTCGCACAATGGTAGCGAAAGCCAACAGGATCCCTTTGCACGGAACTTAATCATGACGGAAGCAACGTTACCAACGAAGTTATATTCCTGCTAAGGTAGTGAGTGCGACCATAAGCTTCACATGATCTTCGTTATGTCCCTAAAGGTCTCAATAATCCTGAAATAAATTAAAGGGCATAATTTCTTCCTCAACCAAACTATTACATCGATGTACAAAAAAAAATAAATAAATAAATAACCAATTGCAGTCTTCGTATTCCAGCATCCCTACCCGCATCCCTAATCATCGACGGCAGGTGAGATCCCGTTATCTCATCTATCCCTCCCCCCATCCCCTGATCCTCTTCTCTTATCCCGGAAATTGTACCGAGGGGCTACAAGGAAGCGAGGGACACACACACACATACATATACAGTCGCTAGGAGGGGGTATTTATCCCTTCCTTGTCAAGCCAGGCCGGCTCGTCGTCGATGTGTCGCACACCTGAGCGTATCGAATCGATATCTCATTTCTTAGGGTGTAGCAGGGTGGGGTGATTCAACTCGCCTTCTCATACCCACAGTGGGTTTCGAGCTTGCCTCTGATGGTGGATCAGCTGCACGTCGTGAATGTAATGGCGGACGGTATGTAACACACGTGCCCGACCAAGCGAATTCAGGAATGCGAAGACATTACCCACGCCACGACGCCTCCCGACGTTTGATGGATGGTAGAGTGGGGGGGGGGGGTAGTGTATGTATACTTTTATGGTTTTCGAAACAATTACAATGACTATACGTGGTTGAAATTTTGTGTACTCTGTTGAATATTGCATGAGGTGTATTTCCAAGATAACAAGATTTCCATTTAATACCTTTTGAGAGAGTGTACGCGGAATGGGTCGAGGAGTGGGGGCTGCCGGTGTAACGAATTCACGTTCCAACGTTCAAAATATTCGCATCTCTTTAAGTTCGCAAAAAACTCATCCGAGCCTCTAAAATTGATTCCGAGCAAACTCATTTATTCCTCCGATGTAAAAAAAAAGTAAGCGGCGGAGGGGGGGGGAGGAGAGTATTCCACGCGCATCGGTGAGGCTGGAGTCACTGAAAATTCTATTACAGGCGCGTCCGAAATTCCCGGGGGCTCCCGATTTTCTCGAGCGACGACGCCATTTTGATGGGTCGAGTATATATGTATACATCGAGAGACAGGCCCACAGAAAGGGGCTGGATGGGGGGCGCTTTTACGGGAACTACAAGAAGGCTCCCCGGAGGCTCGCAGACGTTATGCAGATTTCTGTTTGGACAGTCATTACGGGCGATTTTGTTTGCCGTCGGCAGCGGAGGGGTATATCGCGTACATGTATATACGTAGGCGCGCGACCTTTTTTTTTTTTTTTTTTATTGTTACGCATGTACTCAGGGTGATTGATAAAAATAGAGCGGCGTCGGCGAATGAAATGGGGATGCGATCGATCGGGGAGTAGCGGTGTACCCATTTCCTTTTTATTTGCCGAAGGGGGGGATGCGATGAAACGAGTTTGGAGCGACAGAACCCACGCGCGTTTGTCATCGACGTTTACTGCACTGTTTGCATTTACGAGACGAATTAATAACGGGATCGAAGAAACACGCGCGGTGGCATTAACATACGAAACTTTTTTCATAAAAGCCAATTCGTTCGCTCAAACAGGGGAAATCGCACGGAATCCCATCGCCGTAAAAATTTTTCTAGTTGGAAATAAAAAGGGGTGGGGGAAAAGCACTTAGTTACCCAGGTCGCGTTATAGTGGGGAATAAAAATTCCGATTCGTCGGACTCGCGCGTGTAATAAGCGCGCCGGGCTTTAAAACCTGCTGACGATGAATAAGAGAGAAAAAGAAGAGGCATCAACCCCAGCGCGTGCGTGTATACGCTGAAATTTATGCGCGTATGCCAAGCCATGAGTCATCACCCCCTCCCCCCCACATCTTCTTTTACTATTGCCGCCCTGTCGCCTGCGCTTTTCCAGCGTCTGTACTGCACGTTGCCTCTTTCTCGATTGCTATGCACCCCCTTGCCACCACTTGATACTCTTTTTTTTTTTTTTTTTTTCTCTCGACTATTTCTGGTAAGGGTAACCCTCTCGGCTGCTTCTGTTGATTTTTCCTTCGTTGCTTAATGTTTGGACGATGATGTTGGTTTTGGGGACGGGAGGTGAGCTGCTTTTTTCGGAAGGTTGGAGGTATTGGTGTTCGATGATGATGTGTGTTGTGCTCGTGGATGTTTGGGGTGGGTGAAAAAAAATTCACAAGCTGAAAGGTTTGCGGATGACGTGGGGTTATTGTTTTTAGGTTAGAAAGATGTTTAATAAATTTTTATAGGTTATACACAATTGGGATATGGAGCGAGGATTTTTCGGACGGTATTGGTTGACTCTGTTTTTTTTTTTTTTCTCAATGCATTCATTAGTTATGTGAACATGGTATCCTGTTTGACTTGAGTTTTTTTTTTTTTTTCAGTGACGTTAGAAGATAATATACAGAACACAGAGATAAAGGTGTGTTACTTAGAAACTCTACGACTACTGATACACATATCTACGCAAAAGCTGATAATAATATCAAAAGCCACGGCGACACACACCAAAGATGCATTAAAACGTGATATAAATATATAGATAAATAGATATAGACACTTTGAACATAATAGGTAAGTATATATGTATAATCCATCGACTAAGGTCCTAAAAACACATGTGTACACTCCTACACCGAAAATCTATGTTTTTTACACATTGATGTCGATGTATAAAGACATGATATTTAATTGTTTTGTTTCTTGTATAGTGGAGATGAGTCGAAATTTGAGGAGAAAACAAAAACATCCACTTACCGGCATAGTTTGGCTACCGTGTAGTGAGTTAATCGCCGATTGGGCTTCCTGATGCGATGCAAATTTAATAAAAGCGCAACCTGAAATCATAAAAATGAAGTATTCATCATTAGCATTTGAGTTTTCTTGAATTATTGTATCGTAATGTATACTATTCAGAAAAAAACAGTGTTTTCGGTTAAAAACAGCTTGTCACCAGTCCCACCGACAATCGTCCATCTATCACGTAAAGCGATGCTGAAAGACAAGAATCCCCAAAGCTATGTACTACGATAAGAAAAAAAAAAAAAAAAAAAAAAAAAAAATATACAGAGCCTAGCTGAGAGACAGACGGACTGTTCTGCATTAGGAGAGCTTTAGTTGCTGCGACTGGCGCTTCCCAACGATTAATCGCGAGGGAGAAAGCTTATCGCGAAGACAAAGGAACACTGATGCTCGCGCTTTAATAAAAGATGCCCACACGGCCGTAGATGGCACGCAGAGGCGAGGGTTGAGAAAAAGTGGCCGCTGCTTCATTAATCTTGGCAGATGCACCGTAAGGACGGGAGGGATGAATATTTCATGCAGCTGCTCTCTCTCTTTTGCTGCTGACGCGCGGAGAGTTCGAGGAAATGGCTCGCAGTGTTGCTAATAGCGTGGATGTACTTGAGTAATACGCGGGGATTCTTTAATGCGGCTTGGGGAGTTAGCGATGGGAGTTTTTTTTTTTTTTTCTTCTCCCTTACTTGTGCAATAGGTGAGATTGGTTTTTGTTATTAACATTTAGTTGGGGGATTCGATAAATTTTCTTTTGAATCATAGTGTAATATTTGCGATGAAATATCGATTTTATTCCTTTTTGACCTTTGGGTTCTGGTAAACGACGGTTTTTTGGCCAAATCATTTTTGCCGAGACGCAAGCTTTCACGGAGCTCTCGATTTTTGGAATTCCATGGAAAATCTTATTTCGAAAGATGGTGAAATTTTCAGGAAGCGAGCGCTTCATATTTATTTCGATCAACTCTTCGGAAAATGGACTCTTTCTGGAAAAATTTTCACGAGAGAAATCAAGTTTTCTTACACCGAGAAATATTTTTCAATTTAGATGAAAATATAGTTTCTGCGAAAATATACAGATTCGTAGAAAACAGAAGGTTTGATTAAATTTTGTATTTTCCGAAGATTGCCTGGTGAAAAATTTTGCTCAAATCAATTCCAGGGGAAAGTTTGTGGAAAAATCGCTGTAACAAAAGCTTCCTTTGATACAGAAGCTCGCCCTATTTTCGTAGAAAGTTTGCCCATCGCGCGATGCTCATGTATTTTTCACAGAATATTTGTTTCTCTGCAAAAATTTACAAGAGCAAATTCTTCTTCTCAGGAAAAAAAATTCTCGAGAATTTTCAAACTCTTACACTTTTGTAGTTTTACGAAAAAAAAACAAAAAACAAATTACTTCGCAGTAACACAACCAGTCCCTCTGTATGTGTTCGTCCTTTTCCCTGTATCTTTGAATTGTAATCTTCAGAGCTTCAAGGGAACTCAAGTATACTACATTTCGAATTCTCCTCTCAGTTGGTTGAATCCACCAATGTTTTCAAAAAATGTGGATTTTCTTACGTCCTTTTTTACCCTCGAGAAAAAAATTCTCTAATAGCATTCAGCCCCGGAAACTTTACTTATTATATTTTTCACCGTTTCGACCGGTATACGAAAGGAGGAGCACTTGTAACTCAAGTTTGTTTGTAATTAAAACTCTTCTAAAGATTTACGAGATTCAATTAAAACTACCGTTTGATTGGGAAAAATACAGTCCAGTTTACAATCAATTACTTGGTAGTTGTTCGAAGAAAGTTGGATTGAAATTTTCAAAAAAAAAGGGAAACAAAGCTTTGCCAGTTCCTTCTCTCGACGTAAACTCAAGAGGAAAACATTTTGAGTATTTTGCATTGTAAGATGAGTTTGGAGCTTACAACAAACTATTGATGAAAATAAGTTTTTACGTATTAATACAATCGTTCATCGAATTCAACGATCATAAATATGTTGGATAAAAAAGCTTTTGTCCCATCAGTTTAGACAACAAATAAGACCACCAATACCCGACCTCTTATGGCTAAAAAAAAAAAAAACATTTTTTTTCAAACACGTGTGCTGAATTGTCCTTAGTTTTTTTCTTACATTTCAGCATGAGAAGGTTGAAACTTGACAAATTACTTTCATTTATCGCCTAAATTGACCAAAACACAAATTGTCATGCAACATTTAATACATGTACCTATTTTTTTTAAAACTTGAAATTATGTGATATTTTTTATTTAGCCAGAATCAAAATTTTGTCTATATGTGGTGTATAAAAGAAAGAGATCCGTATCCAACCGGCTCGCTGATCTGCCGGTGCAAAGTCGTCAAGTTCCCCGATTCCGATCAGCGAAGAAAAATATCCCGTGAAAGCGAAGAAGACGGATGGAAAAAGAAAATAGAGGAGGGAGGTGGGAACAAGCTCACGGATAATTCATGCAAATCGCGGCACGAAAAGGCAATTAGAAAGTTGGCGATTCGAGCCACGGGTCCCAAAGTGACCCCGGCTATTTACCATAGAAATTAGACTGATATACATTGCAAAATTGGCAGTAAGTGGTCAGAGGGAAAGGGGCTAAGTGAAGAAACGTGTCGGGCCTGTTGTCAGTGTCAATTTCATTCATGAAAAAGAAGGAGGAAAAAGAGGAGGACGAGCGCGTCCCGCCGAGGATAAAAGGCGAGACGGGGAGAGAAAATCTTGTTAGCGCTTCCTTTGCATAAGCAAGTCATTTCTCTTCCTTCGAGGGAAAGAAAAGAAGTAGTACGCGCGCGCGCGTTCGATTCATGAATTAATGATGAAAAATTCGCTTCTTTTCTTTTTGATTTTTCGCTGTTTTATTTATTTCCCCCCCCCCTCACCACTAGAAGAGAAAGAAAAGATTTATGCCGAGATTATACGAGATCCAAGAGGAAATACTTTTATTACAAAGGAATTCAATTCCACGGATAGTGACACACTGTTACCTCGAGGAATCCCTCCGAAAATGCAATAACTTCATTGGAAAAGGGACGGAGGAGTGGGCTCTGCTCTTTAAGCCCTTTTAATTAAAAGAAAAGAAAAGCCCGGATACACATACACCCACGGACGAGGAAAAAGGAGGGGGGGGGTGGAAGCTCTCAAGACTGCCGCTGATGCACTCGACAAAAGTTGGAAGCACGACGTCCGTGAAAACTATGTTTGCTCGTTGAGTAGAGCAACAACAAACCCACATGCGCGTGTATTTCTTCTTCTTTTTTTTGATGTCTCAAGACGATCGATCGATATGGACGAGAGACTTTCCATTCGTATATTTGATTACTCGGCAAACATGTCCAAGTTTAACGGGAGACTGCGCGTGTGTGCGTTGACGGGGTGGGTATAAGAACGAGGGGTAGAGAATATGTCGTTGGGTTGGTTGGTGTTGCTCTTTTATTGGTTTTTTTTTTTTTTTTGCTCTTTTCAAAAGTTTGGCTACAATTTTTTCAATTTTCGAGAATGTCATGAAGAATAAGGAACGACGACCTATCGATCAGTTGTATGAGTGAAAAAGATACCGTTTCAAAGTTATACGCATATAAAGATTGATGATGCATGTATTTTTTTTCTAAAAAAATCACGATTAAAAGGTTTTGCCAAAAAGTAAAGAATCTCTCTATGTCATTTAATGTTTTCGTACCAGATAAAAATAATTATAACCCAAAAATCTCTGATACTGCTAAAATATTAAGTATCACGTACAAACACCACAACAGTCAAATATAATAATCTTAGAAAAAAACTAAAAAATACTAATTACAAATTTCTAAATTTTCTCTTCTTTCCTGTGGTACAATTTTTGTCGAATCCAAAAAAAAAATATAGCCATCACTTCTCTCTCTCTCTGGTGGTATATTTGTAACGTTGAAATGGTAGTTTTTGACTATTTAAAATTAAGAGAAAGGTTTGACAGCGACACCTTGAATTTCATTTTAAACCTACACATTTTTTTTTGGAAATAAACAAAGAAAGCACTTTTTTCAGCATGTCTAGTAAAACTTTAGTGCCTCCAGTTGTAACTTGAAGGATAAAAAAAAAAGCCACGTGCGCTCGAATTTCCCTCTGAGCTCGAGAACTTTTCTGGATCACAGTGACTCGTTAAACCTGACAATAAAAGAGATTCTGGGCAAGAGAAACGAAAAATCAAGCGGCACGTGTAAGTATTGTTAAACGTTCCCCTTTCAATTTTCAAGCGCGAAAGATTATCGAGACTCGTGGTACCTAAATAAAAAAAAAAAAAAAGGAAAAAGTCCAGGGTGCCGTAAAAGTTCGGCAGAAGGGAAAGGGACAATTTTTTCGGGCTGGCGCTCGCCGCGTTATACGACGTGGTTTTAAGAGCCCTCGCACGTCCATCGTAAAAGCGTGGGTTTTTATTACGCGAAAGAGAAAAAAAAAAAAAGAGTTTAACAACCGGCGAAGGAGAAAAGATGAAACTAATTTGTTTTTCTCCGTAAGGTTTACGTGATTTTTTTCAATTAGCTGGAAAAAAAGTCAGCACTATTGCGCTGCTTTGCTTCTGATTAGCTAACTTTCTTTCGATGGGGGAAACAATAGTTGGGTTTCTTAAAAATAAAAAAAGAAATTCGTACAGCTGTGGTAATCCGATTGACTTTCTGGATGAGATGGGGTAAAAAATGTACTCCCCCTTTTTTTTCATCCACATCGTGACATGGGCCAAGGGATTAAAAAACGCCGACAGAGTTACGGAACACTCGGCCGCCCTTTTTTCCCCATCCGTGAGATCCCACGTCAAGTACGACACGTAAAAAAGAAAAGCGCCCAGACACGCACATCACAAGCAAGGGACGCAGGGAGGTACGTGTATCTGTAGCTACCGTGAAAAAAAAGAGATGTACACGTGGAGATTGAGCCGGGCCTTTGATCCAGGCACAAATGTTCGTGGCGGGCGATGTTATGAAAAATGAAGGAGTAACTTTGCATCTCCCCCACCCCCATATCCCTCGCGTGCTTTTGTGGAAGCTTCGAATTTCTTTTTCTATTATATGC